TAGCAGCGAGGCTTGTAGAGATCACGGAGAGGCAGTGTAACGACGAGGAAAGTAACGTTAGAAGAATAGAGAGGTAGAAAAACCGAGCTTCGTAGAGAAAAATAAAGAAAGCTTTATTACCTTACATTAAGTATCGTGTACGCGTAGTGCGTGCGCCAGTGTACGGGATGTGTGGGTGTGAACGTGTGACGCGTGGAATAGAGCGAGTGTCCTTTACAGATAAAGATAAGCGGGTAGAGATTAACGGTGGTAACGCTCGGCGAGATTGTGTATGTGTTTTATTATCGAGTCCCTCGGGTGACATTGTCGACTGGGCAATCAGGCGAGGAGGGCGGCTAGCTTGTGCAGGTTGGTGATGGTTGTTGCATCGCCAGGCTGAAGCCTTAGAGCCTCCCGGTAGGCCGCTGCCGCCTGCTTGTACTTGCCGTTGAGGTGAAGGATCGCCCCGAGGTTGGCGTGGCTGCGTGCCTCGGATGGCCTCAGACCCAGGGCGTGTTTATACCAAAGCTCGGCCTCCTCGCAGCGGGAGGCGCGCCTCAGGGCCGAGGCCGCGGCGACCGCGAGCTCGTAGTCCGAGCGCGAGAGGGAGGCTGCCTCCAAGTGGGCCGCGGCCGCCTCCGCCAGACGGCCCTGCATGCTCAGGAACAGGCCTGCAATTCACGAAAGGGTCTCGGTGAGGCAATGCCGATGACATTGCTCATGGATGTGACCTTATGGCGTTCAAGTCTGGCCGTCTTGTCTTCGGGAGGGGACTGCACTTGGTACGTGGTACGAATGTTCAAAAAGCGGAGGATGGGGGGAGGTATCGAGTAGTTCCGATGTTGTAAGTAGTCGAACGCAGTAAGGCGATCACAGATTTGAGAGGAAGTTGACCCGGTTATTCACTTACCGTAATGATGGTGGACGCTGGGATCGTGTGGCGCAAGCCTACGAGCGCGCAGGAACCATCTCTCGGCCTCGGACACGCGACTCGACTGAAATAATAGCTGAGGTAAGATAGGGGCAAGAAACTCCGAGAACAGCCGATCGAGCGATAGGCTATATGCGCTCGGTTGGCTCGCTCCTCGCGGGCTAATACAGAGATAGATAGATAGATATATAGATAGATAGAGAGAAAGATCGGGGGAGAAAGAGAAAGAGAGAGAGAGAGAGAGAGAGAGAGAGAGAGAGAGAGGAAGATGATTTGCTTGGGTTGCGATGAGACGAGTAAAAGGAAAATGTGGGTTGTGGTTGGGTGGGGGGGGGGGGTTGTATCGACGGGGTGGAAAGAAGAGATGGCGGTGTACTAACGTTTCGAGCGAGAAGCTTGCCGTAAGTAATGTGAGCAGGCACGTGATCCGGTTGGCTGGCCAGACTCGCCTGGAACCACTTCTCTGCCTCGTTGTACTGCTGCAGTCGCGACAATGTCTCACCAAGCAGATTGTACACGCTCTGAGGAATATATATTTCAAGTGTTTTCGAGTTAGCCAAGAAATGAGAGGGACATACATAAATAAGAGAATATTACTGCACGGTAAAACTTTGTTTTCCCCTTAAGTGATATTGCGATTTTTGAGATTCTTAGAACAAATGCATCCATTTTCTTAATCTATCGAGTTGCATTCTCTCTAGTCTTTTGCTCCGCGGGTAAAATTTATTTGCCGTTTCCTTATTAAAGCTCTGTCATAAGTATCTCGTGAGTGCAATAACGTCGACGTTGTCATGCCAGCTTGTAATATTATACGCGTATTATCTGATCTTATTGGTCGAGCAGTTTTATGACCGCGAAACGTTTTTCTTCGACTGGAGCAATTGAATTCGTCAATTACTCTTCAACTTTACATTATGTATCTTGAATAGTAAATATTCCAACAGCCATTTATATTAATTGGCATTCGATAAATAAACAGATTTCCACTAAATAACGATAGTTAATGAAAATTACTTTCGGTCAAAAAGTGATGCAACATTTAACTGACACTATGTCTGCGTGTGCATTGTCGTGTCTGTGTGTGTCTCTCTCTCTGTGTGTGTGTGTGTGTGTGTGTGTGTGTATGTGTGCGTGTGCGTGTGTGTCTGTCTGTCTGTGTATATATATATATATATATATATTTTTTTTTTTTTGTTTTCCTATTAATCCATTTGACTATTATTCTAGTAATTCCGATATTTTAAATTTTTCATTAAAAATACTTAGTATAAAATAATCGTCGGATTACAATTACCATTTCGAGTATATTTTATGATTTGCCGTGAAAGTATTATATTTCACTAGAGACTCGAATTAATGTAGAATGCTCTTGCAATGAGAAAATTGGCCAATTCGTTCAAAACTAGCTCAGAAAACTAATTAAAACATTTTTATTAATTATGGGATTTTATTGAGGAATTAAAAAGCAGTTTCCAAAATTTCAAAGCAAGCATTAAAAAGGATAAGAATATGTAAATTGAATTTTTAATTACACATTTAATGATCAAATCGGCATTAACTACAGTAAAAAGTAAGTAAATGAAGTCTCATTGACAGTGCACGTATAAATCAAAATTATAGCTTTGAAATACGCACGTAAAGTAAATCAAATTTAAATACATAAACCATGAATAGTATGACAATGAAAACTAAATAGAAACGCGATTAAAATAATTGCAGAAAAGCAGAAAATTTGCAAGATTCCCGTTGAAAAGGTTTAATTTTTATTTAATAATAAAATAATCAGTAATAGTGCACGAATTTTGCATTAAAATATAAATAGACAAATGTACGAATGAAAAAATAGCGCAAGATGAAATTAGCGACAAAATACGATGATACAGTCAAAAAAACGGATTATACAGTTTTGGATTTTAATAAAATCGATGAATTTTCATGATAACGAATTTAACGGTCAATTTCACTTAATCGATACCTAAAAAAACTAAACGCGCAGCCCATTACCACATTAATTGGAAAATATTGTTATATCTGTTAAAATTATTTATATCGTAAA